AAGTGGTCATTATTGCTTTAACAATTATTATTATTATTATTATTATTATTATTATTTGAAAAGAGGTTTCACTCTGTTGCTCAGGCTTGTCTTGAACTCCTGGGCTCAAATGATTCTCAGTGTTCCAAAGTGTTGGGATTATAGACACGAGCCACCATGGGCCAGGTCCTTCAACAATTGGTAACATAATTGGCTGCTCCAGGAGCACCTGCAGACATTAGAGGGCGCATGGTAACATGTATAAATGGTGCTGACCTATCTCTAGAAGACTTTTCAACAAGTTTTTTTTTTTTTTTTCTTGAGATGGAGTCTCGTTCTGTAGCCCAGGCTGGAGTGCAGTGGCACAATCTTGGCTCACTGCAACCTCCGCCTCCCAGGCCCCTGTTCAAGCAATTCTACCTCAGCCTCTCAAATAGCTGGGATTACAGGCATGAGCCACCATGCCCAGCTTATTTTCGTATATTTTAGTAGAGACAGGGTTTCACCATGTTGGCCCGTCTGATCATCTTGATCCTCCTGCCTCGGCCTCCCAAAGCGCTAGGATTACAGGTGTGAGCCACCAGGCAGCATCCACCCCCACTGCTGCCCCTAAGCCCCAGCTACACCCACATCAGCACGAAGGGCATCCAGGAGGAGTCACCGCTTCCCTCTCACCAGGCTTGGGATGCTCCCACCCATCCTGAGCCTCAGGGCTTGGTTTTTGCCTTCTCCCCTCTCTTGCTGCCTGGCACACAACAGAGGGACATTCCACAGGGACTTATGTGGTGGTGTCTGTGGTGTGCGGCAGCCATCAGCTGAGCACAACTGAGTAAAGATGGCTGCCCACCAGGTACACGCTAGCAGGCAGTCCCACTCCGGCAACAGCTCCCCTCCTGGGCAATGCCGGCCCCCGTCATAGTCTCCTGGGCACCCCAGCCTCTCTGGCCATGGTTCAGGCGCCACATGGGGCAGACTATACACAGGCAGCTTGTGCAGGCAGCCTCTGCGTGGTGCCAGGAGGAAGCTGGGAAGCCAAGCTCCCACGCTCTATGCCTGTGGTATTTCTGGCTCTGGTGCTGGTTTACACACAGGTGGACATCTCCGAGTTATCTAAGAGAAAGCCCAGAGACAAAACGGCTTCACTGGCTGGGGTAAGATCCAGACAGATTCCTTCCCTGGGTCTCGCCTCACCTGCCACACCATGGGGCCCCCAGGCAGACCTGGGCCACCCTCCCTGGCACTCAGGCACAGCAGCTGCCTAGCTGTAGATCCCCGGGCTCAGCAAGTCCCCTGCTGTGTCTGCTGGCTCTTCCGGCCATGGGCAGGACTCCCGTGGTACAGGGAGGGATGCACCAGAGCCTTCAGCATCTTACTCTCAAGAGAGGGACAGAGAACCGTCCAGAGAGACTGGGGACACCAAAGGGATACATGACAATCTCGGCTTCCAGTGTCCCAAGGCTGCAGTACAGAGATAGTCTGTCCCTCTTTAAAACCAAATCTAAGCTCAACTAGCACTTCAAAGCCTCTGCACTGGGAGGTGTTTGCTCAGATGGCCCAGCCCGGCTCTGCTCCCCTAGACAGCCAGGCATTCAGGCCACAACTGGTTAACTCGGCGGGCGAATTCGAGCCCGCAGCGGTGCTGGCTGACTGTCTTCACTCAGCGCTGTAATCAGCACATCTGCAGACAGGAAATCCTCCTCGTTGAAGTTCCCAGTCTATTATCTGAGACACCTGGTGTGGGCGGGTGATTCAGAGACAAACAATGAGCAGGGGCCCCCTGCACAGCAATTAACTGCTTTAACTGCTAATGTGTTTAATCCACCACGTGGAGATCAAGGCTACGTCGAGGAAGGGCTCCCTCCGACTCGGCTTCCAGACTGCAGGGCCCACTTCACGACGCCTATGTCCATGGTCCTCGCCAGCTGTGGCCAGGTGCTAGGAACACAGGCAGCGGGCAGGGCCAGCACTCAGCCCCACACAGGAGTTCCGTGAGCACCTGAGCCCCGTCTGCATGTGTGTACACCAGGCACGGGGGGCATCCTCCCTTCCTGTTGGAGCCCAGATTGTTTGTCCACACCCAGGACAGGAGGCGGAGTCGGAGATGTTGGCATTGCCAGCTGTGCAGCCCATAGGGCGCTTGATTTTAACCTCCCAGAGTGGATCTTCCTTTATTGCAAGAAGAAATAAAGCTTGGTTAAAGGCTTATTGTACAAACCAGCAGAAAACACTTGCATTTGCTGACCTGGGAAGTGGCTCCTGAATGTTTACAAAACCTGGCTCTGAGCAGCAGCGAAGTCAGCACAAGCCCGAGCGGCCCCCAGCAGGCGCGCAGAAGCCAGGCCGCCCTAGGGAAGCAGGGTCAGAGGCCAAGGACTGTGAAAAGCCTCCACCCCCAGCATCAATCACACCAGGCAGACTGTCTGGGGGATGCTCATTTTGAAAATACAAAAAAATAAAACAGACTCCTAGCAAGGGCGGATGGGCGTGCAGGCCACAGTAGCTCTGCCAACCAGGGAGGGGGCTTGCTTGTTGCCTGCCAGGCCAACACCCGGGCTTTCTGGGGACACAGCCCTGGCCCGCTGGGCCGCCGCATCCCTTGGGGCTCAGCCAAGGGCTGCCCCTCGGTTCAATGGCAAGAGCTCCCTATGCCATGGGTGAACGGAGATGTCAGCAGACAGAGGAGAGCTAGGGCCCGGTGGGAGGGGGAACTCACCATCTCCCCTTCAGAGTGCAGTTTATTTGGGAATGATAGTAAGAGGATAAATTTTGAAAGAAAAATAAAGTAGAATTTATGATGAGAATCATCAGTACACTTTGGGGTCCAAAATGTAACCTAATCCTTCATAGTGTTTATCATAATAAACTCACTTAAAATCTACTTTTACAACGTGACTGAGAGCATTACTCGTGCTGACCGATCACCTCTGGGCCAAGAGCCCTGCGTCTTAGGTCCTCCCTGGCTGTCAGCTCCGCGCTTGTGCCCACTGCATGGAAGTGAAGGCTCAGCTGCTCGAGGCTGCTTTCCTTTCTGATTTCCCATTCTGAAGTGACTGCTTCAGAAGTGCACCACCCTGCGACACAGCTTGTGCCTCCAGGAGCCCTCCCCCAGGGGACCCCAGCAACTGGCCAGCCCCATTCGAGCCTGGTGGGCTGATGCAGGTGGAGCCAGATGATCCGCAAGGAACCCTGGCTCTGATCTCGGGCTGTCACAGGGAACAACAGAGCAGGCTCGGCATGGAAAGGCCTCGGAGAACTAACAACCCTGAGTGGGCTGCTCCCGCCTTCAACATGCAAGTTGACAGGGCAAGTGGGCAAACTAGGAACCTAAACTAGACGGCCAGGCACCGAGGCAGGTAGGATGCCTGAGCAGGCATGCCGTGTGTGCCGCCACCCACCCTGACAAGGACCTGCAGCCCTCCTTGGGGCGCCCAGCTTTGCAGCAGGCCTGGGACAAGGCGGTGTCCGGCCGATCTCTGTCGGCTCCAGCTCCCCCTCCCCAGCCCCCTTAGAGAGCCCAGCCCAGACCTTCGTCCACACTCCCCCAGCCACATCCACACTCCCCACACCAGCTCAGCCTCTGCCCCACGCAAAATCAGACCTACACCTGACGGAGAGCAAGAAGGTGAAACCAGACTGTGCCTAGCCAGTGGCAGCCAGCCCATGCAAGGCCAGGAAAGGCCCAGGCCACTGCCCAGCGCTGGACGGGTGGTGTCTTTGGAAGCCTTCAAAATGTGACTTCTGGAAAAGCCTGTGAGATGCCACTCCTGGCACGTGATGACCTGCTGGGCCCAAAGGGATCCACTGGGAAATACTGAAAGGTACAAGAAGGCTGGGCAGAACCTTAAAAAGGCTACATCATTTTTATGTGCTGAAAACAGCTGGCTCGTGCACACCATGCTCACAGCAGCATGATCCACAACAGCCAAAGACAGAAGCCACCTACGTGTCCACGGACAGATGATGGACACACATACAGCTCGGCCTTCAATAGGAAGGAAACGCTGGCACCAGGCACACAACGGTAACGCGATAACATGCTGCGGCATGGGCTCAGCTGGAAAACATTTGTGCCAAGAGAAATGAGCCAGTCATGAAAGGACACACTGCACGATCCCACCTACATGAAGTCTCCAGAGGAGTCAGATCCGCAGAGACAGACAGTGGAAGGGTGAGTGCCAGGAGCAGTGGAGGGAGAGGGTTTAATGGGGACAGAGCTCAGTCTGGAGCTAATGGAGAAGTTCTAGAGATGGGGGGGCGTGCTGGCTGTACAACGTGAATGCACTCAACACCCCTGACTATATACTTGAAAATGCTTATGATGATGCATTTTATGTTACATATTTGTTACTATAATGCTTCAAGCTTTCAAATCTCTATCATTTTTATGTTAAAAACAACAAACGAGATTGGCTGGGCACAGTAGCTCAAACCTGTAATCCCAGCACTTGGAAGGTTGAGACGGGAAGATGGATTGAGCCTGGGAGGTCAAGGCTGCAGTGAGCTACGATTACACCACTGCACTCCTCCTGGGCAAGAGACACCCTGTCTTAAAACAAAACAAAAACACCTACTTTGAAAGCCTGAAGCAGCAAAACATTTGATATGCTAAAGAAAAAATATATACCAAGGTTTAAACCTGGAAGGCGACGTGTAGGATTTACGTGCTGGGTACCTGCAGGGTACCCAGGGCCAGAGCAGGCCAGGCTGCCTAGTCGCTCCCTGATGAGGACACCTGGCTGCTGCCATCTGTCTCGTCCCTGGTTTTTCCAGCATGTCCCACGGTGGTGGGGAAATACACAGAAACTCGAGGTGCTGGGGACGGCAAGATGGGCACAGCCCAGCGCGGGTGCCACCTCACAGGCCTTCATGGTGGCTTTTAATGTATGCTGGGGAGCAGCCAACCTACCCGGTGACCAGCAGGATCAGGGAGCCCTGGGAGGTGGTGACAGGAAGTGGGGCAAAGATTCTCCATGTGCCTCAAGGAGACCAGAGACACAGTGTGTGGCTCGACGCACCCTTACCTACAGCCCACAGGACGGTGTTGAAGGTGCCCGTGCCCTCCTTGCCAGTGGTGTGGTCCTCCCAGGTGACCTGCAGCTGGCCGTCCAGGAGCCTCCTGACTTGGGAGGGGGTGCAGCCCCTCAGGAACCGGGTGCCGTGAGATGCCATGTGCTCCGTGACCAAGGAGGACATTTGCTGCAAAGCACAAGAGGATGGGCTGTGAAGACCAGGTGACTGTCAGAGAGGCCCTGGCCCTGGCCCTGGCCCTGACTCAGTGAGGGGCTGAGAGGCGTCTGTGCAGAAGACAGGGCGACACCCAGCCCCCTGCTCCATACCCTCCTGCTCTCGGTGGAGTGTCTGGCCCTCTCCTGGCTGCAAGTCCTCAGACCCTGGGCCCTGTGGTCACGACTCACTTGGCCTGTGGGCTCCTCTCTAGACGCTAATTAACTAAGTCTTCATCAGCCAGATACGGCCGCCCCTATCATCCCAACACTTTGGGAGGCTGAGGTGGGAGAACCCCTCAAGCCCAGGAGTTTGAGGCTGCAGTGAACTGTGATCACGCCACTGCACCCCAGCCTGGGCAACAGAGCAAGACCCTATCTCTAAAAGAAAATGGGCCCCTGCTCCTGGTCTACCCCTCAACATGTGGCCAACCTGCTCCTCTGCCATCCAAGAGCCAGGAGGGTAGGGAGGAGACTCTGCTGCCACCTAGAAATGTAGGCATAGCAGGCTCAGGTCAGACTGGGGACAGAGAGGGTCCCATTTCTCCCTCCTGGCTCAGCAGGCCTGTGCGCCCCCAGTCCAGCTGCAGACGGGGCCCCATTCCCAGGACAATGGGGCCTTGTGTGGGCCAGTACTACACAGCTTCTGGTTTCAAGAGGAGGTACACAGTCACTGCTGCCATCCTCTGACACTTGTCTGGGTGCACCGGCTGGCTCTAGATGGCGTGTGTGGGAGTCCGGCCCGCCAGGCAGGGCTGTTTGTACTACAGAGGGGCTGCTGCATGGCTGTTCATCCCTCCCGTACCCCTCCAGAGGCCTGGAGGGCTTGGCCATCCCAGGTTCTGAGGGGAACCACGGGGCCCATCCAGGACACAGGGCACATAGCCCCTTGGCCTGGATACCCAGACTGTGTATCCTTGCCTGGGCACGGCCCCCATCCTGCAGGCCCCTTTCCTCCTCTGTCCACTACCAGCTCATTCTCCCCACATCTCAAGGCTCCAAGGCCTTCCCAGACACTGCGTCCCAACCACAGGGCTCAGTGGGTCTGCAGTGAGGGACATGGTGGGCATGTGCCACAGCCTGAGGATGAAGAATCACACAGCCACACAGGTGGAGGGACAAGTCTCCGAGTTAGCCTGCGGGTGGCACTGGGAGTCTGGAGATGACAGGCCTGGCTCCTCCCACCTCAGGTGACTGCCTCAGGCTCTAGGGGCTGAGGGTCAGTGAAGACCCTGAGCAGGGCCTACAGATCTGCACAGCTCACCCTGCAAGGGGCCTCCTTCGTGGCAGCCATGGAGTGTTTAATGTCTCCACAATGACAACTCCAGACTTCGATTTTAACAAGAGACTTTTCCTTGAAGAGCTTTTCGTCAAAAAAAAAAAAAGAAAGAAAGAAAGAAAATCTCTATTGCTCTAATCTAGGAGCTCGTCCTGCTGGCCACACGAGCAAGTGCACCCCAGACACAGACGGGGGCCGCTGTACACAGAGTACGTGTCCCCACACCGCGACCCCACAGGCTCTCTCGGAGCCAGCGCTGTCCTGTGCCCCTCACTCGGGCTCACACATTACAGCTTATTCCACTCCCACTCCACCAGAGGGGACAGGCAAGGGAGAGCAGGGAGTCGCGGGGTCTCTGAGGTGGGCTAACACTTCTGCAGTACACACCCACCTCTCACTAATGGGACGATCTGGAGGGTGACCCAATCTGCCGGCACAAGGCTGGGCTGAGCCTCCCTTCACGGTCCCTGCAGTTGGCCAGAGGCCTCCGCACGGCCGTGCGCCCCACCGCCACCCTCCGCCCTCGCTCCGGCCGAGTGTTTACGTATTTCCTATAACCTCCTCATCCAACACAAACGTTATCACCAAAGGTTCAGGCGTCACTGGTGGCCCATGGCTGCACTGCACCTGCCTGGGAGCGGCCTGTGGGAGGAAGGGCCGCAGAGCCACAGGGCAGGAGCTGGGGCGGCTGGCGCTACCTGGTCAAAGCCGCGGAGGGGAATGCTTCGCATCATGACGGTGACGTCCAGCCCGATCCCGGTGAGGAAGCCAGCACACTCCAGGGCCACGTCTGCAGCACCGGCTAAGGAACACTGAAGATCCTAACTTTGGAAGCGATGGGACAGCACCCTGGGGCCCTGTGCCACAGCCCATGCCCCACCCATCCATGGGAGCTCCCAACTCAAGACCCCTACCTCTACATCTCAAGGGCACGGGCTGGGGTTAGCAAGGAGCCCCCATGGACTCACTGCGCCCATGGGGTCCACCTCAGCCTCCAGGGTGAGGCCTGCCTCCCGGTGGATCCCAGCTGGGATGGAGAGCAGCAGCCAGCTCAGGGAGGACCTTGGCCGAGGGAGATGCCAGGAGGCTGCCTTCTTCCCCTGTGCTCTCGGCCAGCGGCTCAGGCTCTCTCTTTTTTTGAGATGGAGTCTCGCTCTGCTGCCCAGGCTGGAGTGCAGTGGTACAATCTCAGCTCACTGCAACCTCCGCCTACCAGGTTCAAGCGATTCTCTTGCCTCAGCCTCTCAAGTAGCTGGGATTACAGGCATGCACCACCATAACCAGCTAATGTTTTTATTTTTAGTAGAGAAGGGGTTTCACTATGTCAGCCAGGCTGGTCTCAAACTCCTGACCTCAGGTAATCGACCCGCCTTGGCCTCCCAAAGTGCTGGGATTATAGGTGTGAGTCACAACACCCGGCCGGGGGCTTTCATCTCCCTCAGACATCCCCTCGACCGCAGGCCCTCCTGTGGCTCCTCTCCTGACCCTCCCTGTCTGACTGTCCCTTCTGAAGGAATGGGTCCAGGCTGGGGCTGCTCTCGAGGGAGGATGGCCCAGCTGCCTCATAGCCATGTCCAGCTGTCCCAACTATCTCAGCGCCTGGCTCAGGAAGAGCCTCCAGGAATCTCTGGCCAGAGGTCAGTTTCAAACTGTCCCCCGGCACAGGTCCTCCACGGCGAGAGGCCCGGTGAGTGTCTGATCTGAGGCAGCAAAGAGCCTGCTGGAAGGGCAGGAAACAGGGAGGGACTCAGGGGAAGGAATGTCCTGTTCCCAGGATGGCCACCTGCATGCTGGTAAAGGATACAGCTGGCCCCGACCACCAACCTGTTAGAGAAAGGAACACAGCGTGTAAAGCTGAGGCCCTTATTGACAAGTGCGGTTAGAGAAGAACCCTGCGGCCTTCGTGCAGGCCCTCTGTCAGCTCGTGAGCTCCAAGGCTGCCGTTCAGACAGCTTGCCCCCCAGGGTACAAAGCCCACTTCCCAAGCCTATACTGTCAAGCATGTTGTGAATCAGCAAATGGCCTGGCGGTGAAGAGCATGTGTGTCAGTGACAAGTGGTACCTGTCCCCTGGAAGGTGCCTGGCGGCATGGAGAAACATCCACCAGAGCGGTGCAGGGCTGGCTTTCTCTCCTGCAGGGCCTCTTGGGCCAAGGTGGAAGCCCCCAGAGGCTTGGCCAGAGGCACATCCAGCCCTACCGCAGCTAGGTGCAGGACCAGAAGGGCCAGCTCCCCAGAGCAAGGACTGAAGGAGCCCAGGGACAGGGGAGGCAGCACAGTTTGCTGAGATCCAGCAGTCACTGGAAATATTTGCTCTTGCAGTGAAAATCCTCTATTATTCAACTCCACAAGTGTTATGCACACACGTACACACACTTGTATGTGCACACCTGCCACACACCTGCATGCACACGTGTCTGCACATACTCCTACATGGGCACACACAAATGTACATACATGCACACTCTCACATGGGTACACACATTAATTCATACGCACACTCATGTAGACACATGCATGCACACACATGCAAACGGGCACGACACCTAACGTGGAACGAGAACTCCCAGCGGGGCAGCTGCACGTGGGTGGGTTCCCACATCACACTTCAGTCTTTGATCAAGACGAGGTGATGTAAGGACGGGAAGCCCAATGTCAGTGCTAATCCCAGCAGGTACTAATGATATAATTCCATTTCAAAACGCAGTGTATCCCTTGGAATCATTCTGCAGGTGCCCTGCAGGAAGATCTGGCATGCAGTTTCCTCGCAGTGGCTGGGGACAGAACCGCACCACTGTCAGGATTAGGGTGAGCAGACAGAGCTGTGGTGGCCGGCTGAGTGCAAGGTGGTTACACGCCCCACTCAGCACGTGAGGACAGTGAGGGGAGATTCTGGGACGCACAGCCGAGCAGGACTGCAGAGAAGAATTCCCAGCCCCGCTCAGGGCCAACACCTAAGAAACAGGCACCATGGTGTGTGCGCACTTCCAAAATGTGCACACACACATACACGTCTCTACACGGAGGTGACTTCCAAAATGACAAAACTGAACTCTTTTGAACTTGTTAAATGCAGTGAAACGTACAAGCTTTTAAGATATGAAGTCATGAGTTACTGCCAATATAAACGGAACCCCACTGCTTTGAATATCGTGCCCTAAATGCAAGGGTGAAACTGGGTGAGAGCCCATCATGTGGTGCCCCCTACCCCCTGCTCCCAGAGGTGGCCGTGCGTGGGCGAGATGCTCCCTGCTGCACCATGCAGGCACTAGGGGAGTGAGGCCAATGCATCACTTCTGTGGGCAGTTGGGGCCCTGTAGCCAACTCTCCTCCCAGAATGCGACCTGCAGCCGCAGGATGGGGGCCAGGCTGCTCTCCAGGCCTCCTGCCTCATTGCTAGGGATCCTGCAACACACCCTCCTGATTTCACCACAAACATTTGCTGTCTCCGCCACCCATGTGTGCATCCCCACCTCCTACACGATGTTCGTCCACCAGGACTGGATGAGGGGGCAGGCGACTCTCTAGGCCCTCCCTCGGAGCCCCCCCCAGTGCCCGGGCCTCCTGTCCTGGCAGCTGGGGGTACAGGAGAAGCTCCCACCTCGAGGGCCACCGTCAAAGTCACAGGTGACCCCATCCCTCAGCTGCCAGCTCTGAATAGCAACTGAGGGCACGGCTGAGGGGAGGTGAGCGCAGTGGGCGCATTCCTGAGTGGGCATCCTTGACCGTATGTGTTCAGCTGAAATCTCTCAGTGAAAGCTCACATCTGGCCTGTGTGGAAGGTCATTTTGGGCCTCCTCTTGTTGTGCTGGGCAAAGACTACTGACAGCATTGGTTTTCACCATGCCCTTCCCCACACTGATCAAATGATGCAAAAGTTATGCTTTGAAGAATGCAGGATATGAGAACTCAAACAGAGAACTCCACTCAGACCAGCTAAAGTAAGAAAATGCCCGAGTGAAATGAGACAGACACCGAAGCCTCCAGATCACGAGGATAGAGAGAACCCAAAGACAGCCTCTGCAGGCCACCCTTGGCCCAACAGGGGTGGGGACAGACAGGAAAGTGGTGCAGCAATCAACTCAAGCCACAGCTGGACACAGGAGGCTGGAGGTGTTGGCCACAGAAGTCTAGGGACTTGACAGACAGCTCACAGGACCTGGGCGTAGGGGGCCGGAACCACTCAACTTATCACTACATTAAAAGACGCTGGCGGGGTGTGGTGGCTCAAGCCTGTAATCCAAGCACTTTGGAGGCAAAGGCTGACGGATTACCTGAGGTCGGGAGTTCAAGACCAGCCTGACCAACATGGTGAAAACCCATCTTTATTTATAATTAAAAAAAAAAAAAGACCCAAAGGTTGGGTGTGGTGGGTCATGTGTACAATCCCAGCACTCTGGGAGGCCAGGGTGGACAGACTGCTTGAGCCCAGGAGTTCAAGACCAGCCTGGGCAATATAGCTTGTCTCCATCTCTACAAAATAAATTACTAGGGCATGGTGGTATGCACCTGCAGTGCCAGCTACTCAGGAGGCTGAGGAAGGAGGATCGCCTGAGCCTAGGAGTTTGAGGCTGCAGTGAGCTGCACTCCAGCCTGGGAGACAGAGTGAGACCCTGTCTCTAAAAGAAACAGAACAAAAAAACAAAACATCAGGTTTCAGTGTGATCCCAGCAGCTCCGCTCTGCGCTTTTCGGTGTGCAAACATTTTCTGAGGAGGCATAATAACTACTGCAGGATTAGCCTAATCACAGGGCAGGCTTTCTTGTTCAAAACTGGAATGGGGGGAGGAAGCAGAAACAAAAGCATTAATTCAGGCCATGAAGCCCAGGCTTAAAGAACAATCCATCTGCCTCTTGAGCTTGAAGGCCCCTGATCTGCTCTCCAGAGGGAACCCTCACACAAAGTGAGAGTCTCATGGGAGGCACCTGGTTTTTTGGCGATCCTGCCAGCCCAGGAAATGCTAGATGGGCTGCCAAGCTGCGGACGCCCCAGGGAGGCAGCATAGGGCTGGGGGCGCCCAAAGGCCTCCAACCTCGTCTTGCCTGGGACCTCACCAGCCCCACCCAACCGCTCAGGGTCAGATGCTGGGCCAGAGCCCCTGTGTGCTGGCCCTGTAACAAATGCCACTGAAAGCCCTGCCTTCTCATGACTTAGCCACAGGGATGCACAGAGAGGTGGCAGGGGCTCTGCATTCTGGTAACAAGCACCAGGACAGCTGGTCTCCCTGTTGCTGAACACAAGGACATCCCATCACACCGGGGAATGGGCCACTTAAATTAAAATTTCTCCCAAACGGCTGTGGTTCTTCCCAAGATAAAATTTATCTTCTTCCTTCTTGCGCCTAGGAAGAGAGAAAAATGATCGCAGTACCTGGCTGGCTTCCGGACTTCCTAAGGGTCAAATGAAAGCTCTTTCCATGACACACTGACAGGCAGCCTTAAACCAGCCCAAGTTATAAAAACACTCTGCCTCTCAGAGCCCCAGGAGCACGAGGACAGACAGCAGCAGGCTGGTGGAGCAGCGTCCAAGGGTGGACAGACCTGGCTAGCTGCAACCCCTTCCCCAGTGGCCAGTGTATGGGCTGGGCAGTCCCTGAGCCAGCCTGGCAGCTGCAAGAGAGGCTGGCCCCATGGGGACCTGGGCAGGGGCTGCAGAGCTGGCAGCAGGAACAGGCAGGCCCTAGTTGTTTCCGGGAAGCAGCACCTCTGTTACCAGACCTGAGAGGAGGCTGCAGTCTCATTCATACCCTCCGCCCCATCCCAGTGTTGCCAGCTCAGAGCCCGACTTTGCAGAAAGCAGACCTACAGACACAGCGAGAGGGAGGGCTAGAATAGAGTGACCACAATTCCCTATTTTGGCATTAGGGCCCCGGAGCTCCAAAACCTGGCACTGAGGGAGAAGACAAAGCCCAGGTCTGTGGGCATGCGGGAGGCAATGGCAAGGCACGCTGGCAGGCCCCAGTCCCTGCCGGGCGCAGAGGCTTATGGGTGGAGGCAGCCTCCAGGTCAGGGCGTGGCAGGAAGACTGTGCGGCTGTGGGACTGGAGTGGAGCTCAGCTCCTCCGGCGCCTTTGGCTGCACTTGGATCCCGACCCCCAGTGCCTCCCTCTGTAACGGAGCTCCCAGGAGGGGCTCACCGTCCTCGCCTTCCACATTCCTCCATCTGCTAGGGGCTTGCTCTGCGGAATGGACGGTCTGGCTTGTAAGGCCCCAAGGCACCTCTGAGCCTCGTCATTTGGGGTCTCGTGCCTCTCTACGACCCGCCTCCTGCAGTGGCCATTGTTCCCAAAGGGGCTCCACTGCCCGCCCAGGGCATGCCGCCCTTCCCCAGCACCCTCCTCTCTTCTTCGACCTGTCTTGCACTTCCAGAGCAGGAAAGACACAAGACCAGCAGAAGAGGCAAACGGGCTGGGCACAAGGCAGGTATCTGCATGGCTGAGGCAGAGCAGGAGCCGACCTGGAGTCCCTCTCAGGGTCCCTACCAAGTCTGGGAGGACAGCCCCTGGTCCTGGGCATGGCTCTGGGAGTGGGGCAGCCGGAACGTCCCCGCCCCACCTCAGTGCACTCCAGGGTCCTGCTCACCCACCCACAAGCTCACACTGCTTTTTCAGGAGTTTTCTGCACTTCTTCCTCACCCTCCTGGGTTACAAACCAGGTGCTCAGCCCACTCTGGCCAACAGATACGACCCCATTTTGCCAGCATACGGCTGTTTGGTGAAGGGCGCTGTTTAATTGTCCACCTTGACTGAGCTTGGACGTGATCCCCTTACCTCTGCCATCTGCCTGGCCCTGGCCTCCCCAAGACCTGATGCAAACAGAGGAGGAA